CGGAGAATACAGAAAATGGTAGAAGGAAAAGGAGTGGTGGACAGGAAAATGGAGAGGAACAATAATTTGTGCAGATTTTCAGATGCTAATGGAATATCACCCATATACAGGGGTCTAGGAGCAGCAAGAAACGGGGGTGTGGTGCTCAGGAGGGCTGGTACAGCTAAAGGCACAAGGTGGGAGTGTTCCAGTGAAGGGAGGGTTTTGGAGAGACAAATTCTTGGCAATTAGGACGACACGGGTGGAAGGAACTCCTGACTGAGGAATGTCGGTGTTGAAGGCTTGTGGAAAATAAGAGAAAAGAGATGGAGACGAGAAGAAAAAGCATGCAAAGAGGATGACTCCCACAGGAGTAAATATCAGATAAATCAAGGGGAAAAGAGGACGTGTTTTAACAGGCCAGCCAATGGCTTCCTAGACGGCAGAGCTGGAGTCGAATGAAGGCAGAGATGAGGTCACCGGGTTTAGTAATCAGGAAATGAGTGGTGACCACTGAGTGAGCAATTCAGTAGCGTGAAATCAGACTACATTTTGTTGAAGGCCTGGCTGCAGTGTGTTCAGAAGGGAACAGAGAGCTTCGAGGGTGAACGCCTGTTTTGAAAGGTCCGCCAGTAAAAAGGCGGTGGGAAGGCAGGCAATTATGTGGAAGCTGATCAAGGGAAGGCTGCCTCTTGTTTGCTTAAACAAGAATAACAGCTGTAGACAGGATGACAGGGGAAACAGAGGAGAGGGAGGGACAGAAGATAGAAGATGTGGTGACTAATGGCTCAGGGTCCCTGAAATCCTCCAAGTAGGAGGCCTCAAGAACTTAGAGAAAGAGATCCAGCTTGGGAAGTAAGAGGGCCAGATGAGCAAGAAGAAATGAGCAGAAGACACGTCTGAGGGATGAAAAGGTGTTGAAGGGGCTCTTGTCAGTGGGCTGTGATGTCAGTGACATAGGTTGGCCATGGAGTGATGAGCTAACAGCGGAGCTGGGGAAGCGTGGGAAGTGAAATTCCTGCCTTGAGTACCAAAGGTGGTCAACTACAAAGGAAAGAATTGCTAAACAGTACTTCTGAACAACCGAAGGTGACCAGTACCACTCTCCCGTGGAATTCATTCTGTGGCTTTCTTCAGCAACGCTTGACAGGCTGAAAGTAGCAATAAAAAAAAAAAAAAAAAAAAGTGCGATCGGGGCTTTCGCTGGGCACCGGCAAAGTGGGTAAACCGGAAGGATAAGAATAAGAGAATTCTAGACTGTTAGTGAAAACAGGTTGCAATTTCCTTAGTGAGTGGATGCTGGGTACCACTAAGGGCCAAGCACTATGCAAGGTACTAAAGATTTCATAGTGATCGAGATGGGTAAGTTCCTTCCTGGCAGAAATTTTAAAGCTTAATGAAAGATAAAGACAAACAGGGAATAATAATACGCTTTGATAAATGCTGTAATGAGAGTTGTTCTTAGCTGGGGGCAATTCTGCATGCATACACACACGCACACACACCCTGGGAAGCTGTAGCAATGTATGGAGATATCCTTGGTTGTCAGAACTTGGGGAACAGGAGGTATGCTGTTGGCATCCAGTGAACAGAGGCAAGGGTTGCTGCTAGATATCCTATGGCATGCGGGCAGGATAGCCTGTACAACAAAGAATTATGTTAAAGTCCACAATGTCAATAATGCCAAGGTGGAGAAACCCTGCTCTACAGACACATAAGAGGTACATCAAATCTAGGCACGGGAGAACAGAGATTTTCTTTTCTTTTTTTTCTTAAAGAGAGAGGGTGCAAGTGAGTGAGGGGCAGAGAGAGAGAGAGAGAATCCCACTGCACGCAGAGAGAGAGAGAGAGAGAGAGAGAGAAGTGGGGCTCACCAGAAGTGGGGCTTTAGCTCACCAAAGGTGGGGCTCAAACTCACGAATTGTGAGATCATAACCTGAGCCGAAGTTGGATGCTTAACCAACTGAGCCACCCAGGTGCCCCCAGAGACATTCTGGAGTAGCAGACCTGAAAGATGGGAGAAAATATCCAGGTAGGAAGTGAAGAAGAATTTGTACAACATGTGCAAAGGCCCAGGGGCTAAAAAGCAGGGCATAAACAGGGGGATCAGGAGGCATCACCATCACCTAGTTACTGAGGAAATACTGTGTGTCCAAGTTTCTACAAGATAACAGATCTCCACTTTAAGATGTAGTCCTCAATGGGGGTGCCTGAGCGGCTCAGTGGGTTAAGCGTCCGACTTCGGCTCAGGTCATGATCTCATGGTTTGTGAGTTCGAGCCCCACATCAGGCTCGCCGCTGTCAGCACAGAGTCTGCTTTAGATCTCTCTCTCTGCCCCTTCCCACAGGTTCTCTCTCTCTTTCTCAAAACAAATAAATAAAACTTAAGTTTTAAAATCAATCAGTCAATTACATGCAGTGCTCATGAACAATCCTCAAAGTCAGACATCATCTCCATGTTACACATGAGGAAAAACCGTGGCCTGGGGAATTAAGTAAGTTGTCTTAGGTCACGCAGCTGGTGAATGGCGGGGCTCCAAAGTTGAATCTAGGTCTGCTAACTCTAATAAGACCTTGTCCAACCCCTAAACTCAGCTGCCTTTGCAAAGCTAACAGTGGCCACGTCTGTTGGAGGAGAGTAATAAGTGACATGGAAGGGCTGGAAGGAAGCACATGACAGACCTCGGGAAGTCTGTGAAAGGGTTTGGAGACTGTCCTGAGGCAGTGGGCAATCCTGGACAGATTTTAAGTCAAAGTCCCAGGGTCAAATCTGCCTTAAAGAAAGATCACTTCTAGCCGCAGTGCAGGGAACAGGGCAAAGGAAGAGGATGTTGTAATTCATAAGTCCAGAGAGGGTGCTGTCCTGAACAAGAGAGGGGACCGTGAGGAAGGAATTCAAGAAAAGTTCAGAAACTAAGACGTGTACTTAGGGACTGGAAGTCAGGCGAGAAGCAGGAGATGACCAACCAGCTTTCCGGTCAGGGCACGGTAGTGGATGAAAGTGCCATTCAATGGATAGAGAACACAGCAGTTTGGGGGGAGCAAATGTAATGAGTTCAGTTGGGGACATAAAATTCATATTTAAATGGAAAGAGAAGAAGACCAGCCTGGAGACAACAGTGAAAACAAGACGTGAGAAGAAGCTGAAGGAGAAGCAGGAATGAGGCCAGTGAGCAGGTTTAATGGGGATGACGAGGCAGAGGGAGGCTCTGGTCAGAGAGAGCATTGCAGAGTTTGAGATCCCATGGACACACCAGTTCTCACGGCAGTCACTGCAGAACAGGGAAAGCGCTAGACGTAAGCAGCCAAAGTGTGCTGGGATTACAGGGTTGTGTGTATTAACGACATGGACGTAGAAACCTTTCAGGATGATCCGAGGAGGTCAGTGGAGCGTGCTCTGGACTCCAAGTGTGTGCCCCTCCAAAATTTATGTGTTGAAACCTAACCCCCAATGCGATGGTATAAGGATGTTTGGCCTTTGGGAGGTTATTAGATCCTTAGGAGGGATCCCTCATGAATAGGATTAGTGCCCTTATAGAAGAGGCCCCAGAGAGCTCCCTCACCCCCTTGGCCATGTGAGGACACAGTAAGAAGACAGCCACGTATGAGCCAGGAAGCAAGCCCTCACCAGATACCAGATCTGCTGGTGCCTTGATCTTGGGCTCATCAGCCCCCAGAACTGTGAGAAAGAAATATTTGCTGTTTAAGTTCTGTTACAGCAGCCTGAACAGACAAAGACAAGGGAGAAAAGGGTCAGAGGCTAACGCTCTTAAAAAGTATCAAATAGCCAACAACTATTTTATAAACCCAAGTAATAAAATGGATGATTGTCCTTAAAATAAGTCTCAAATAGTGACATCTGAGATTGAGAGTTTATATTGATTAAAATCAGGGAGAGGAGAGACAACAATGACTTCAAAGAGGAATGGCCACTAACGTAGATGATAAAACAAAGGCCTGGAAACGGCAGTAAGGAGGGAGAGGATCCTGATCCCTCCCTCACAGCCAGATGAGGCGAGGCGAGTGGCAAAGGGCCTTCGCCGGAGGGTTAGAGGGTCACGGTGTCATCGAGGGACAGCTAGAGTTCGGTACAGATAAAGAACCAGGAGTGTTTGAGGAGACAAAGCATATAAGGGAGCTTGGTCTGAATGAATAGAAGTTTCAGAGGCACAGGGGCCTTAGTAATGAAAGCCGTGAGGGCCAGTGGTCTGGGAAGAGTCACGGATGAACTGGATGGAGACAAGTGGATAAGGCAGTGACTGAGGAGCTAAAGAGAGAGTTGAAGAGCCCATACCTTAATAAAATACTGCTGCTACTCTATGGCTTAGACCAAAGCTATCCAACAGAATGCTTCACAGAAATGTTCTATATCCACACCGTCCAATACAGTAATCACTAGCTACTCGAAGTGCTAGGGAAAATACACGGCAACCTCGGTGGACTCAGACGGAGCAAGGAATCCACGATAACCTCCCATAATTCAAAGTGCTTACGACACTGCCTGATCATGAAGTGGTAACTATTACTGTCATTATCACGATCACTCAACGTGTTTGACTTAGCATCCAGGCGTCCAGACTCATTCATAGCTAAAGATGCTATTCCGTACACATATATTATTCATTATCTGTGGCATATTTGGATGTTCTCAAAATCTCCCATGCATGGAGGAGAAACATTTGTCTGCAGTCATACTTGAACGTGTACACATGTAGTTAAGATCTTCACAGCACGCGAAATCACCAGCAAATGAAAAGGTGACGCATGCAAGTCTCTCCAAGTACCTTGCCATGTCGCTCTCTATTCTCTGAACAGCGATATAACAAGAGGATTTGCAGAGGACTAAGAATTCTACCAACAGGAAATCTGTTTAATTCAGCAAAGCCAACACTAAAACACTGGTCTTTGCTTTGCGTGTTTCGAAAAAAAGAGTTTAGTTAAGGATGAACAGTCACAGGAATTCTTGGAGGAGAAAAAAGAGTAGTGACAGGCTGCCTTAATTTTGATCTTCTGAGACTTGCCTTGGTCTTCTCGAAATTGGCTTCCTCGGCCACTTGCACGGCTTGCTTCACCTGCTCATAAGCGCCGGCTTCTCTTTCCTGCACGTCTGTCAAGATGCTCCTGACGGAAACTAGTGCGGACATTAAGTCATCTCTTTCCCTGTCAGCACAAAAAGAACATTCGAAACAAGAAATGGTCACACGATCATGTATTCGTGAGTCAGGAAGAAAAAGGCATTAACACATGGTAGAAGAAGAGCCAGGGTGGGCCGGCTTAGCACGTCCTAAAGCACACCCTGGAGAAAGGCCCTCTGTCCTCCCCTGGCGAGGTGCATGCAAAGGAGCCAGAAAGGCTGAGGCTTCATGGCAGGACTGCGTCTGGAGGGACAACCACTATTGTGGACAGGATGACCACACTGCGGGCTGCAGATTCAAGCCCAGAAAAGAGGAAGTTAGTCTACAAATTAAAAGGTTGGGGGCTGGGAGGGAAAAAAAGGAGTAAGACAGAGAAGGTGGGGGCTGTACGCAGGTTCAGGGGCTGCTAAGGCCTTGTCTACACTGCTGACTCCCCACGCATTTATCTGAACAAATAGGTCCTTTCCTTTTTAGCTTTCTCCACCATCCTCTTTTTGACCTTTCTCTCTCTCTCTCTCTCTCTTTTTACTTTGAGAGAGAGAGAGAGAAAGAGAGAAACAGAGAGACCACAGCGGGAGAGGCAGGAGGAGAGGGAGAGAGAATCTCAAGCAGGCTTCACATTCAGTGCAGAGCCCAACACAGGGCTCGATCTCATGACTGTGAGATGACCTGAGCTGAAATCAAGAGTCGGACGCTTGACTGACTAAGCCACCAGGTGCCCCTGCCCTACTCTTTCAATTAAATTCTTTCACTTACTTATGAACCCATTTCTTCTTTCAAAGGGTGGTACTGCTGAATCCCTCAAATAGTCTGGTTCCACAGAGAATGCTCAAGATTTAACAAAATCCCATCCTGCTGGGTTGGACCGCTGCCTGGTCCCACACCCTTGTCAGCAATTCTCAGAAGCCCTCTGTCCTTGGGGACAGATGGAACCAGATGCCAAAACACTTTGGCATGTAACATAGCAAAGGCCCAGTCCCATGGGTTAAATAAATCCCATATAAGACTTTAGGATATTTGGAATTTATCCACTGGATAAAAATGACCAGCTGACCAAAGAGAAAATGAGGTGGGCAAATTTCTATACACACAAAGCAAAGAACTCTAAGTTGGGCTGATATGTATGCTATTCCATGCTTTGTTTGAGAGCTCAAGTTTAAACCATGGTTTCAAATTCAGTGAAAGTAACTGCTTGAAGTTTCCTTTTTTTTTTTTTTTTTTTTTGGCCAAGTTCCAAACTACTGGGAGAGAGCCAATTCTGATTTTTTTTTTTTTAATTTAGCAACCTTTAAGGAGCAATGATTTCAAAGATTATAGTCTCTGAGTTTGAGTGGCTTTCAGAATTAACCAATGACTCCATGTAAAAAAAAAAATCTCTTAAGACAAAATAATTTAAACTATTTGTGGTATTTGGAAAGCAGTCATATTTTAAGAAATATGTAATACTGAACAAAGTCACAATTATTAGCAGTTTCATAAATGATCTTTTTGTTAAAAAAAAGGATTGCTGAAAATATAAAATTCATGGGAGCATAGAGATCTTCAATTTAGAATTTTCTGGTTTGTTTTAAATTGAGAAAAATAATTTGTCTTTAATTCTTTTGTTCTAAAGGGAAAGAAAATGGAGTTCATTATTTTGGTCAAATCTAACCAACACAATGATTATGTGAAAAAGTAGAAGAGTCAAAGCAAGGTTAAATTGTTCTGGTTAAGGAAAAAATAGATTATATGAAGGCAAAAGTGAATGTATGCCTATTTGCATACCAAAAAAGCTCTAACATGAAAGGGGACTAGGTTCATTAAGACTATGCAGTCAGAGTTCCTGGGTGGCTCAGTTGGTTAAGCTTCTGACACTTGATTTGAGTTCAGGTCGTAATCTCCCGATTTGTGGGTTTGAGCCCCTCATTGGGCTCTGTGCTGACAGCTCAGAGCCTGGAGCCTGCTTCGGATCCTTTGTCTCCCTCTCTCTCTGCCCCTCCCTTGCTCTCACTCTTTCTCTCTCAAAAATACATAAGCATTAAAAAAAATATGCAGTCAGGGCGCCTGGGTGGCTCAGTGGGTTAAGCCTCCTGACTCTTGATTTCTGCTCAGGTCATGATCTCATGGTTCTGAGATCAAGTACCAAATTGGGCTCTGCGCTGACAGTACAGAGCCTGCTTGGGATTCTCTCTCTTCCCTGTTCCTCCCTGCCCCTCCCCACTTCTCAAAATAAATAAATAAACTTAAAAAAAAAAGTTAAATAATAAAAAAAGAATATGCTGTCCAGGGGTGGTTCAGTCAGTGGGGCGTTCAACCCTTGATCTCAAGGTTGTGAATTCAAGCCCCACGTTGGGCTCTGTGCTGGGTGTAAAGCCTACTTAAAGAAAAAGAAAAAGAAAAAGAAAAAAGAAAAAGGAAAAGAAAAAGAAAAAGTATGCAATCCAACTAGAACCTACGATTCTAGAATAAGATAAAAATTTACTCTTTAAGGGCAGCAAGTCAAAATGGGCATCATATAGTCACCTTTCTTAAGGTTGTACGACCGACTAAGAGACCCAAGTTACTATTCAGTGATGCTCTGATCTGTTCCTGACACCGTGGCATCATTGAAGCCAAAGTTCCAACTAAAAAGAATTAACCGAAAAGCTCAGTGTTTATAGTATGCTGACAGATCACAACAGGATCAAAATCCAACAAATTTGCTTCTTACAGGAGACTTAATGCTTAATATGTTTAATCTCTTTTCAGTGTGTGTCCTCTTGTTAAGAGGAGTCTGCCAGACAGTAGATATTCAGTGTAATAGAGGACAAAGACCAAGTGGGTGAGTAGTGATCCTGCCACAGGAGGGCATCAAAGAGGTAAAGTAAAACTCCTCCCAGTTCTAGTATTGCATGATCTAAATTTAAAAAGTCACTAGGCTACTTAGAATTGGAAACTAAGGAGTTTTGTTGCTCTGGTTCAAAAAATTTTTCAGACTATCGGCTCACCAACTTCAGACCACAGACAATCCTCAAAGAGAAACAGCCCCAAATACTGATGTCTTGTTAAGCGCATCATTCAACAGTGAGCCCATAAAATGATTGTACTGAAAACCTGTGGAGCCACCGGACACACTCCAATGTTCTGTCAGAGAAATGTGCCACATGCTTTCAGGTGGCCTTCAGACCACTGGGAAGCTGAGCTTCATCAGGAGAGATGCCTAAACTGCACCAGTACAGGAAGCCACTTGGGTAATCTGCAATTATCCACTCAGTCGCTGCATTTTTTGTTTTGCCTCGTCTCAACTCAGCCAGCCCACATCTCAACAGCAAGCACTCGGAATGAACCCAGCTCTGGGCATGTCAGCCCTGTCTTCCACACAATGTCTTGCTTCCGGCCCCGTTCCTATGTCACCTTCTTGATTTAGCTCCCCTTTATCAGCCCCACTCCACTCCTCATTACCTGGCCCTCGGGAGCAGCCAATCCCAGCACCCGGGATAACTACACAGGCAGCTGCAGGCCTGTCCAGAGCTCCCAGTCCGCAAGCCCAGCCCAGAGCCAGGCCTGAGTGCGTCTCTCCCAGTGGGAAGCTGTATAAACACACGTGGCCTATGAGTGTGAACGTGAGATGGCAGCTCTCCATATCACCGTCTCCCAAGGCCAGAGTTCTGTGAGTGCTTAACAAACACCATGTACGTTATCAAGGAGTTTTCTGAAGCAAAGCAAGCAGTACAGCATCAATGCTGCTGAGAGGGCAACTAGAGCAGAAGATGAGGCAAGGAGCTTGGGTGTGAGGTCTCAGACAAACCAACTAACAAGATGAGCATGGGGTATTTAAGGAATGTAGAGCAACAATGAGAGCAATGAGAACCAAGGAAGTCCCTGAATAATCACGGTCAAATGTTTAAAATAAGGAAAAGAGGGGCACCTGGGTGGCTCAGTCAGTTAAGGGTCTGACTTTGGCTCAGGCCTTGCGGTTCATGAGTTCAAGCCCCGCATCGGGCTCTGTGCTGACAGCTCAGAGCCTGGAGCCTGCTTCGGAGTCTGTGTCTCCCCCTCTCTCTGCCCCTCCCCCAACTTGTGCACGCTCGCTCTCTCAAAAATAAATAAACATTAAAAAAAAAAACCTTAAAATAAGGTAAAGAGACGGTTCGTCTGCTATATAGGCATGAGCTTCATCTTGAAATATAAAGTGCCTACAAAATGCTTTTAGTTCCTCAGTTATTCCACAGTGAGTACCAGTTTCAAGCATCATTAAGCATCATTAGTCAGTATTATCCCTGTTTTTTAAAAGAAGGTCTAGAAGGCTGACTACAACATCTCCTTGTTCCTCATTTCTGGGAAGTTCCTGCCACGGTCTCTCAAAGCCAACTATACACGACTGTGCCAAGACCCACTCGAAAAATCACAAGCTGGACTAAAGTCCCAGGATAGTACAGCAGTAATTACTTCTCCTTTCTGAGCAGTACACTGAAACTTCTCCAAGGCACTATCAACTACAGAAAAGAATTTAATATAAAGCAGTTCCATCTTGATTATCATTCGAAACCGTTTTGATCATTAAGCGAAAAGGAGGGGTTACTTTCCCTCTTACTGACCTCAAGGCATAATGAGGCCTGAGCGAAAGGCAGAAGTTCAGAAACACTACAAAGACTTCAGATCAACGTTTAAGTGCATCCAGTGTCATCAACAGTTGTTAAGTATACTCTCCAAAAAAAGTCCTCACGGTCCTAACAAAACGCCACAAACAAACTGTGGTCTGGTCTCCAAGTCATGGCTGATCCTGTTCATTTCCTGGGCTCAAGTCAGTCCTGTGTCATACACCCAATACATTCCGTGCTCACAGATCAACAAAGGAACTGACAGCTGGTGTCACAATTGCCACATTTCAAGTAGAGGCCAGGAGGGAAGTCTTGATTTGTCATATTTGGGGATACAAGTTTTTTTTGGTTTTTTGTTTTTGTTTTTTAATTCCATCCTAGTGTCATGCAGGGAATTCTATGATACAGCTCACTGAGGGTTCAACCTTCTAATTATACATGAAACTAGAAATCCAGACCTAAAGAG